GACTTCTGGTAGTTCTCTGTTGATGTGCTGTTCCAGTCGTTTTTGGATAATCTTCAGTAGAATCTTGCTTGCATGTGAAAGCAGTGAGATTGTTCTGTAGTTTCCACATTCTGTAGAAAATAGGAGTCAATTTTATCTTCCTTTTCTGAGGACTATTTCAGTCTTCCATAGACCCAGAACCCAGCTTCCCCATCTTAGACCACTCTAGCCAGGGAACAGGTGCACACCTGCAGACACTAAAATCTGAATGTAGGATATTAGAGCTCAACAAGCATGAGAGGCCAGTCCAGCAACTGCTAGGGAGCAGAGGCGAGGTTACATGCTAGGTATCACACAGTGGTAGAGCTGGTTGTAAGCCTAGAGCATCTCCTGCTGTGCTGTCCAGTGCTGAGACTACTGGGGCCTCAGAGTGCTGAGTTTTTCCTCAGTTTGTCTAGACTTTGGGACCTGACAAGCTGCAGAATTGCTCCTCTGAGATGGGGCTGGGTCAGGAATGGCTGTGAACTCCAGAGGACATCTTTTCTCACCTTACTCCTGGGCTTCTGCTCGCTCCCACTGGGCTCTGTTCTAGGTCAAGCCCCTCCCCAGGAAGCCTTTTAATCAAGGAGGGATGACTAGGCAGCTCTGCTGGTCCCATGCCAGGAACTATACCTGCCTACCCAGGCCTCCTGTGCTCAAGGTCACACTTCCTACTCCTCATCTCCAGAGCCACTTCCTATCCCTCTTCCTATCTCATCTTCCACTAATGCTTTCTTTTCTTTCTTTCTTTCATTTTTTTTTGTTTTGTTTTGTTTTAATGCTTTATTTTCTTGCACCGGAGTCTCTATACCCAAAAGCTAAGAGAGGAACAAAAGAAGTGGGGATTTCCCTCCACTCATGCCTGCAAAGGAAGTATGGAAGCTGGGGCTTTTCCATTGATGGGGAGGGGATGGTCCCAAATAGATCTGTGCTCAGAGGTAGGCTCCACGCCCCCCTTTGCTCCACTATCTGGTGGTAAGTGACGGCATGAGAGCTGGCACCTGTCCAGGGGCATGATGTCACACCGCACGAGCGTCTGCCTGCTGGGCTCTGCGCCGAGTCTGGCGTAGGGGCATCACTGCCTGGCAGCCCCTTGCCCTGCCCCATCAGAGCCCTCCGCACCGAATCTGCAAGCCTCCAGCCCCCAGAAGCAAGCCCCAGGTCCAGAGTGTTAGACCAGACTGACCAGATATGCCCAGGGAGACTCCAGAGGCGGGGTGGTTTACATCTGTTTGGGTCCTTAGGTGGGAATGGATGAAGAATCTGAGCAGGAACCCTTGTTTAAAGTATCGCAAAGTATCACTTGGGCCAGAAGTAGGCCTTCCTCTAGGCTTGGACCAAAGACTTAGAAAGCCCAGGGGCCTGGTTTATCTCTGGGCTGAAGAGCAGCAGCCTTTGGGTTCTGGCCAGTCCAAACTGAACCAGCAAGGATGAAAGTTATACACCTGTATTCTCTCTTCCTACTGCCCCATCATGTGGATGGTTAGGGAGACCTAGAACCCTGCTTTCTCTCACAGAAAGGCTTCCAAGACTTGGGGGTTGGTAGCTTGAGGCTTCGTTCCAGTTCTCCCTCGATCTTGCAGTGTGACAAGCCATGCAAAGTCAAAGCATACACTTCTCATTTTAACTCTTTCCCTAGCCAAGTGGATATTTGGGAATTTGCTGCCTGATCTCCCTCCAAGGTAAACAAATTCTGGGGGGAGTAAAAGATAGAGGGCAGACACTAGTCCAGGAAGGGCTTCTGCTTTGTGGGCCTTTTGGGCCTTGTTTGGATTGGAATCCCTTGCAGGGCAGTAGCCACAGAAGTTTCTTGGGCCTCCTGGCCTAGAGCCCAGATAAGCTGTGTCTGCAATAGCCTTGACCTCTTTCCTCCTCTTGACTTCAGTTCTCAATACTGCTCCTTACAGTTTCCTTATCATTGTACCTGCCCCCTGACCGGGCCATGGCAGCCAAGTCTGCGGGGAGCCACACCGCTAACTGGAAAGTCGCACCTCTGGCAGTTTGAATCCACCAGTAGCTACACGAGATGAAGATGGGCAATCTCCTGTGTGATCTGTGCATGGCCTTGGATGCCCAGTGGAGGGTTAGCGAGAAGTCAGTTCTGACTTACAGTGATGAGATGAGACCTTTTGTGAAGAAGATGTAATGTGTCAGAGCCTTGCTTAAATGTAAACATTTAGCCAGCATGTTGTTTCCCTCATTTAGAAAATGACTACCTTTTTTGGTCCCTTGCCCCCTCCCCTCAGGACCATCCTTCCTTTACACATGGTGACAACTTGAGGTGCTACTTGAGGGACATTGGTGACTCCAGGCTGACCGAGGAGAATGAAATGCTATTGCAAAGGGCTGGGATAGGGGCTCGAGTTTTCAAGTTCTACACAGGCCTTGTAGGGTTGACTTAAGTGTTCTCCAGTCCCCTTCCCAGAGCAGTCCTGTTCCTTGAGGTAATAAGTTTGGTATTTTCCTTCCATCTAGGTTTGATGGGTTGCTTTTTCTTGCACTTGCTGGAGACTTGGCTGGGTGTGGTGGGAGGTAGGAGAAGAGTGCCTGGGATCCCCCTTAGCATCTGGGAGTTCACCTTTGACAGTGTTCTAGGAAGAATCTCTCCCATGTCGGGAGACTTGAGGCAGCCTCGATGGGGGTTCTGGGTGACCCAGAGTTGCTCCACAGTTGTGGGTGCCTGCAGCTGAGGCCAGCAGCCCAGGTCTCTGATGGGTGCCCGCACCCCAAGCCTGCTCTCAGCCTTACCCAGCCGTCTCTGCCCGGGTAGTTCAGGGACAGGGCTGTGCAGAGGATGTGGGGGAAGAGCAGAGCAATGAGTATACAGCCAGCATGAACGTCAGAGGCAGCCCCAGCCAAGGAGTGGGGCTCCAGGATGTGTTTGCTCAGTGCTAATTGAGGGCACAGGAACATGGTGGCTACAGGGCTGGCAGGGGGCTCTCATTGCGCAGGGAGGTGGACAGGCAGGCTGGAGATCATGTGGTCAGTTCCCAGGTCACCTTGTAAGTGTGTGTTTGCTAGAGACCATCACGCCACCATAGCAGATGAGGGGCTCTGTAAATAGTGATTTCTGTTAGATTTCTGGTGCATATCTGACTACAGCTGCTTGGAATTGGGGTCTGTAAGCAAAGGGAGGGAAGCAAGTGCAAAGGCAGAGGGGGCAGTGGCTGTGACACCCATCACCAGCTCAATCTCAGGTTGCACATAGGGAGGTCTGGTTTTAGCCAGCTGTCCAGAGAGGTAGCCAGAACTCATTCTTGGAGGAGAATCTTGGCTCACCCAGTCATCTCCCTCCCTGAGACTTCTGGAGCACTCATATTTTATAAAAGGTTATCCTTGCTGTTCTCTACAAATAGGGACAAACACCCCTGATCAATGTGAAGGACACTCTCATGTTGAGTTGAGGTGGGGGAAACCCCAGGGTTCCTTTCCATCTTCCACATGATCTGTTCCTTGTGTGGAGTCACAGAAGAGACCCTGTCTAGGGATCAGGCCACTCATTCCTGCCCTGATTCTGACACTTCCTGGCTGTTTTCCTCTCCTTCAGTGAGCCGCTAATTTTCCCAGCATGATGTCTGTCTCAGAGGACCCTGACCAACAATGGGCTTGAGCAGGATAGAGATGATGAGGATGGCACAGAATAGGGCATGGCTCACATCTCTTGGTCATAGGGTCACTATGTGTTGTAGTCACTTAACATCATCTTCAGCAGTGTGAGATTTAAGACTTTTGCTGCTCCTTGGAGGCAAGGATTCTAAGGCTCCGTCTAACATACTTTGGACATGTTGCAAGGAGGGACAGGTCCTTGGAGAGGGACATCATGCTTGGGAGGGTGGAGGGACAGCACAGGAGAGGAAGGCCCCCTGTGAGGTGGATTGATTTGGTGACTGGGGTAATCGGGATGGGTGTATTGGAGACAGCGTGATTGGCACAGGACAGAGCAGAGTTTAGGGATGTTATACATAGGGTCGCTCTAACAACAACAACAATAACCTGTGAGTAAGGGATGCAGGTGAAATAACCTAGAAGGCCCTTTCTAATTCTGAAAGTCTGGGATGCTGGATACTAGACTTTTTGGGTTGCAGAGCTCTTGGGCCTTGGCCTGCTCAATCCCTGCTCTTCCCAATTTCTTGCAAGACACTCATGAGGTGTCTTGATCTTTCTGAAGAAGAGAGCCTTCTGGCAGAAGAAAGGGCCGGTCACTGCGCCCAGAGTTAAACCTTTAGGCTCAGAGGAAGAGTCCCATTCAGCCTTCAGACTTGTTTCCTTCCCAGACTGGGAGCCCACTGGGGACAATTGGGAACCACTTCCATCCTTGAGAGGTGTCTTGACATCTGTGTACCCTGCATAGGGTCCCTGATGGGCCTGGGCGATGTTATCTCACAGCAGCTGGTGGAAAGGCGGGGTCTGCAGGAACACCAGCTCAGCCGGACCCTGACCATGGCGTCTCTGGGCTGTGGCTTTGTGGTAAGTTCTGCCTACAGCAGGGCTGCTGATGGACTGGACATGGTCTTGGTGCCACTTTACCCTTTGGTTTCCTTTGGCCTCTCTTTTTATTAAAATTTATATATATATTCGTTTCTTTACAAAATTTGAATAAATTGTTTTCCAATTCCTTCAGCCCCCCATCAAATAGTACAACCCCATGATTAATCCACTCCCACCCACTCACTCCGCATATCCTCATCCCTCTGCTTCCACCCTCCCTGCCTTGGGTCCTCATACTCACTCTATAATAATGATTGTATGCAATATTTGCCCCGTGTGATGGAGTGAGTTAATTCATCATAATGCTCCCTCCAAAGTTAGGTAGTAATTTACAAAATCATTGCTCCTGCGTGCTGCGTAGTATTCCATTGTGTGAATGTACCATAATTTCTCAATCCATTCATTTGTGGTTGGACATCTGGGTTGTTTCCATGTTCTTGTGATGGTGAATAACGCTCCTATGAACACTGCTGTATAAGTCTCCATTTGTGCTTCAGTTCTCATTTTCTCAGGGTATATTCCAAGTAGTGGAATAACTGGGTCATATGGAATTTCTATGTTCAGCTTTTTGAGGAAATGCCAAACTGCCTGCCAGAAAGGTTGCACCATTTTACAACCCCACCAACAATGTATAAGGGTTCCTATCTCGCCTTTGGTCTCTCTTTTACGTCTATGCCACCTGCCTTTCTTGTTTTGCCTGGATTTCTGCTTCCCCTGGGGCTTGGTTCCAATTCTTAGGGGGGGGTAAGATTTATGATTCAAAAGTCATGTTGTCTCTTACTGCATCCTTGTCCCCCATGTGGGGTTTCTTTTCAGGGCCCGGTAGTAGGAGGCTGGTACAGGGCTTTAGATCGGCTCATCCCTGGCACAGCCAAGGTAGATGCACTAAAGAAGATGCTACTGGATCAGGTGAGCAGAAGGAACAGTGAGCAGGGAAGGCCAAGGGTGGTCGGGGAAAGCAGGGATGTAGAGATTTGTTGCTGAAATCCATGCTCACAGCTTTACTTTTTCTTTCCTAGGGGGGCTTTGCTCCATGTTTTCTAGGCTGTTTCCTCCCTCTGGTGGGGACACTCAATGGACTCTCACTCCAGGAAAATTGGGCCAAACTAAAGCGGGTGAGCCGGCAGGTGTGGGTAAATCTGCTGGCTGGCAGACTGGCTGTGTAAGGGATGAGGGGATAAGAAAGTGAAAATGGAGGAGAATCCTAGGCTTTGGAGGAGAATGTAGAAGAAGGTCTGTTCTTTGAATTGACATTTTTGTGTCAGATTCAGATTGGGAAGTGGGAGCTGCTTGCAAGTGAAATTGTTGTTCATTTGTTCCTTCCCTGTCTCCTCAGGATTATCCCGATGCCCTCATCACCAACTATTATGTAAGAACTGATGCCTCAAGTCTCAAGCCACCTTAAGTCCAGATATGCTCAGGGGTTGGGAATTCTCTTGTCACAGAAATCCCTCATTCCCAGGATGGGCCCTTTTAACCCAATTGTTCACCCAATTCACCTGTTTTTGGGGTGTTCTGAAGGTGGAGTGAGGCTGGGTAAAACAGCCAGCTTGGGAATCTCCACCAAACCTTGTCCTTCTCTCTTGCAGCTCTGGCCTGCTGTGCAGTTAGCTAATTTCTATCTGGTCCCCCTTCATTACAGGTAGGACAGATCCTTCCCCCATCCCCCAAGGAAGAGTCATAATATAATATGGTGGTTGGAGAAAAATTATTTTCATTTCTATCTGAGCCCCTTTCTGTGCCTAGCCAGAATGCTGCTCTGATCAGACAGCCTCAGACTTCCTGGCACTGCCTTTGGGCCCTCTTTCTTGTGACACTGTCTGGCCCAGAGCATCTTGCCTCCTGACCTCCCTTTATCTTTCTCCATCCCACCCAAGCTCTTGACTCTTGAGACTATCTTCAGGGGCAGAGCCTGGGGTGCTGCTGCTTAGGTTAAAAAGAAAGGTGGACCTTCCCCACCAAGAAGTTAAATAGGAACTCAGTCAGATTAGTTCATGGCAAAAGAATTCTTTATCCTAATAAGAAAGTTAGTTGTTGGGCAACAATAAATGAAACCAAGTGGAACTAAATAAAAGTGAGTAATTAAGATGATTGAAGGTGAGGGGCTCTTTGGGAATAGGGAAAAGACATGAGGCTGTTCAGAGAGGACATGATCCAAATGTACATGAGAAGCCTAACTAAACAATAGACTTATGAACCCAATCATAAACATTAGGATCCCTGGCAGCATCATAAATTTAAAATAAAAAAGGTACTCTGGGGTGGTGTCCTAGTGGTGAGGAACTGCACTACCAACACAAAAGCACACAGTTCAAATCCACCAGCTTCTTGGGAGAAAGATAAGCATGCAGTTTACTGCCTCTGAAAACCCACTGGACAGTCAGCTATGGGTTGGTTTCATTCAGTTCGATGGCACGTAACAACTCTCTAACTAAGGCAGTATATTTTTGGAGCTGGTACAAGATGGACCAGGTAAGTGTATTTAGAACAGACTGGAACAGAAGTATGAAAACCAGGCAAAAGAGCTGAGGATTGAGGCTCCCGTCAGATCTCTGAGCTGGTACTTCTCTGGTCTGAGCGGCACAACCCTCTATGAGGAGCTGAAGGAAGAGACGAGACTCCGCAAATAGTTTTCAGAACTCCGTTTCTATTGCATTTTCCATTTTCTTACCGTCTCTGTCCCTTCCTTTTCTCTGTGATGCCCTTCCTGTTCTGTAGGCTGGCTGTCGTCCAGTGTGTTGCTGTCATCTGGAACTCATACCTGTCCTGGAAGTCCCATCAGCTCTAAGCCTGCCTCACTCTATTGTTTGTACCTCACAGTGACACAGCTTGACCCTGAAATGAATGGGTCACCTCACCTCACCTCCTTGACACTTTCATGTGGCTAGGTTGCTGGTAACAGAGTTGGCACTCTGAGATGGCCCATTTCACTTCAGAATGTAAACTGACTCCTTTTGAATTCACGGAAACCTTCATAATGGTCTTCTATCCACCACATAATAGACACTTCAGGTATCAGTAATTGTCTTGATCTTTACAGCTTTATTTTACACCTGTATCCAAGAAAATGCATCTACCCCCACTAGCACACACAGCCTAGTGCAGCCCCAGCTCTTCGGGACCCCTGTTGAGTATGTTACGGAGTCTGGAACCTGCAGAGTCAATGAGTAAGGCTAACTAGTAAATACTGGGGAGTCAAGATTTCACTGAAAAGAAACCTAGAATACCCCCAAGGCCAGTCTTCTGTTACAAAGGGGGACACTCCATACAAGGGACATGACTGCCACGCATCCCAAGCTGGGGCAAAGTAAAAACTTGAAATCAAGTTTCCTTCCTTCCTTCTAGCCAGTGGTCTCAACTTGAAGGTCAAATGTTTGTAATACTGTTGTTAGGGTTCTCAAGACCAAAATTAAACTTGGCTATGTTATTATTTTGGACAAGCTCAGACTGGGGTTTTGTGTGTTACTTTTGTTTTGTTTTGCTTTTTACTCCAGGCACCTCAGCATCCTGAGGTAGAGATCTTATCTGGTGCCTTAGGCCTCCTTAGAATTTAGATTCTGGAACTGTAAGGTCAGAAATCCTACAGACCCCCAGCTACTGGGGACCCTGTGGTGGGTCCCGCGTTTAGTATAAAAGGTACACTCCTAATTGCCACTGTTTGTGATGGCTGAGAACTGAATCAGATCCCAGCACAGGCGCCCAGTGCCTCAGTTCCCTTTTCAATGAGGGCAGGGCCAGCACAATGGACAGCCCAGAGGTCCCAGCTCCCTTCCTATGGGAGAGGAGATTCTTCTCCAGGCTAGTCTGGTCCAAGATCAGGCCCTAGTCACTGCCCATTCTTAGCAGGGGGCACTATTTTTTTTGGGGGGGGGCACTACTCTTAATGTCCCAGAGTTGACCCAGCCAACTTCTCTGGTCTCCCGATGTCATGTCGCATTCGGGTGCCTCATCCAGTGCTCATTCGAAGGCTGTTTTAATGTCCTGAGGCCCGCCCCTGGGGGGCTCACAACCTGCTGAATTCGGGCTGTGGCCGTCATTGTTTCTACACTCAGTGCATGTTCTTGGCTGACGTCAGTCGGAGCTGTCCTGGTGCTATATATAAGGCTGGCGGCGGTCCCAGGACAGACCCCGTTTTCCCCGAGGCGCCCACAGCCCGCCCCGAGGGACAGCGACTGGAGCTCCGTCTTGCAGCGCGCCCTGCGACAACGTGTGAGTGGCTCGGTGCATCAGCCCAGATCCCTCCGGCACCGCTCAGCCTCAGCTCGCCCACCAGGGGGAGGGTGGGACGGCTGGGGCTGGGGCTGGAGGGAAGCCTACGGGAGCTCGCCGGCAGCGGCGTGAAGGGCTGGGGGGCGCCCCCTGCAGCCACCCCGGCGCCCTCACCCCGCACTGCCCCCATATGCAGGCCCCAAGGCACCATGAGGCGGACCGCCCGTTCGGCACTGCTGGCAGTGCTGCTGCTCCTGACCCAGCTGCAGCCCGGGACCAGCCGCGGGGGCCGGGAGGCGGCAGGGGTCCAGGACCCCAGTCTGCGGTGGAGCCCCCGGACGCGGGGCCAGGCAAGTGGGGCCGGCGCACTGCTCTTGCTACTTGCCGAGGGCTTTCCGCGCCACACAGGACCTGGCCGCTGGGCATCTCGGGTGGTGGGGGAGCGGCCACGACGGGACGACCCCCCTCTGTCCATTGACCTCACCTTTCACCTGCTGCGGACCCTGCTGGAGCTGGCGCGGACTCAGAGTCAGCGGGAACGCGCGGAGCAGAACCGCCTCATATTCGACTCGGTGGGCAAGTGATGGCTCCCATCCACGGACTGTGGGACCTCGATCCCCAGCCCTGACCCCCAAGACTGGGATGTATACAATCAGAACTGACCCAGGCTGGTGAGGATTGCGCAAGCCAGGGATCCCCTGAGCACTCTACATTACTGGTTTGTTTGTTTGGGTTTTTTAATAAAAATACCGAAGAGCCTTTGGCTTCTGTCATAGGGGCACAGAAACCGAAGCAGGGTGGGAGCCCGTGGGAGAGTGGGTCTTCATGGTCTGGGAAGGAAATGAAATGCTGCGGGAGGGCTTTCAGCTAAGTTCCTGTGGGACCCGTGGCCCCCAGTTCTCCCAGGGCCTCCTCCTACCCTCTTCTCAAGCTCTATCATCAAAGCCATCAGATTCTGACATCAAAATGGTACTTTGAAAGGGGTTCATTTCACCTCCTCCCCAAGTGTCCTAGGTTTGGAGAAAGGGCTTTGGTGATGTTCCCACTGAAGGAACTGGCGGTGAAGAGAAATGCAGGTCTAAGACTCAGAAGTCATTTATTGGGGCCACGTCCCGGACAGGGTGGCGAGCTGGGTGGAGTGTGGTCTCTGCACAGTTAGATGCTCGCCAGCCGGGTCCCAGGCCCCAGGGGTAGGGGCTCCGAACCAGGGTCCAGTCAGTGCACGCCTGTCCCGGGAGAAGAAGGTCGGTGGGCGGGTCTTCCAAAGACACTCGCCCGCCCCCTTCCCCAGCCTCTGATTCTTCCCTTCTTTGCCGGTGAAACCTAGTCTCCCAAAGCTCCCGAGGTGGAGAAGTTAGTTTTACATGGACGAAAGCCTTTCAGCTTTGCAGTTAAGATGAGCGGTTGCTCCACTCGTTCGGTGTTGCAGGGGGCGCCATCACCCAAGGGAGGGCAGAGACCTCTCCCCGGGTCCCTCCCCACGAGCCCCTCGGGCTGGGGGCCACACTTACTGTCCAGCCCGTCCTGTCGCTCTTCTTCTGGCCCCGCGTTGCCTTCTTCCCCGTCCAGCACCACCTCCTCATCCTCGTCCTCTCCTGAAGCACCTGGGCCGAAAGAAGCCCTGCCCGTGAGAAGGGCCCCCCCCCCTTTTCTGGCAGTCAGGCAAACCTCCGAGGGTCAGGACACTCAGCCCAGCGCCTGTGTGCCCTAACTCCCTCACCCCTTTGGTCGTTCATCTCCCTCGTCCCTGTCCGCTCCCCATCTCCTTTACCCCCCTTCCTTGCCCCCATCCCCCTCGTCTCCCGTCCCCCCATCTCCTGTATGCGTGCCCCCATCTCACCTGCCCTCTTGCCGGCTCCCCATCTCCTTCACACCCCTCCCCTGCACCCATCTCTCTCATCCCCACCCCCCATCTCCCTTGCCCCCTTCCCTAGCTCCTCATCTCCCTCTTCCTCCCCCGCTCTCCATCTCCCCTGCCCCCCAGCCCTCTCGCGCCACCTGCGGGCTTCTCACCCGGCTGGAAGTCGATGGTCCTCAGCATTTCGGCCACGTGCTCCACGCTCACCGAGAACTGCTCCATGCTCTCATAGCCAGGCTCGGGACGGCCCGCCAGCTCCACCTTCGACATTGTCCCGACCCTGCGGTGGCCGCAGGGGATCAGCTGCAAATACCTGAGCACCCCGAACCCCTCCCTGCCAGAGGGGGACTCCCCTTCCTTTCCACCGTCCCCCTCCACGTACTCACTTATTGATCAGCTCCTTGGCCTGCTGCAGTGAAGAAAAGGAAGGGAAGAGTAAGCACCACGCTCGGCCGTGGCAAAGTCCGGTTTCCCTCTGCCTCCCACCAGTGCTGTATACCCCACTGTTCTACTCTGAGGCACCGAGGGATCGGGACCGGCCTCCAGATCCCCACTCGACCACTAGGCGGCGCTGCCGCGCGCCGGCTCACCTGCAGGTAGAGCGCCATCTGCGGCTCCTCCATGGACTGGATGGCGGACTCCACCAGCTTGGACGACGCTTCCAGGTGGTCTCCGTACTGGCGGATGAGGCCGCGCACGCGCTGCAGCTTCTCCTCCTGCTCGCGGGCCAGCGCCTGCAGCAGCTCGCTCTTGCGCTCTTCCAGCACCGCGCACAGGGTCTCGAACCTCTGGTTTAACAACTGCTTCTGCCTTCGGCTGTTGTCCTGGAACGGGGGAGCAAGAAAGAGGGACAAGGCGAGCCTGAGACTCCACAACTACTTGTCTACTACTTGTCTAATTCTCTATTTAGGGGGAACCACAGAGAGGTAAATGGAAAGTGACTTGGCCATCGTCACAGCCATTTAGGGGCAGAGCCAGTTAGTAATAATAACACCACAGGTTTTAAAAGTAGCTTTGCTAAGTGCTCTCATAAAAAAGAAGTAGCTTCTATAATGTTAGCATAATTTCATTTAGTAAACACAAATGAGACCAAAGCACGGATAATTTAAGTAATTGTGCTACCGTCACGGTGCTAGTGAGAATCAGAGACGAGATTCAAATCTAGCTGTGTGGCTAAGCACACCCTATTACAGGTGTAGCCTGTCTCTCGGAGTCCAGAAACTCTTTAGCCGGTGAGGGTCTCCAGCCGCCCGGCCCGCTCACCTCGATGGTCTGGCACACCTCCTCCATCTGCGTGATCACTGCTTGCACACGGTCATTGCCTGCCACCAGCATTGCGATGCCATCGCTGAGCTCACTCTGCCACATACAGGCCAGCACTCAGGGCTGGAGGACCTGGCCTAGAGCGGCAGCCCCCCCAACCCTACCAGGCTGCCCGGGAGAGGACACCCACCCTCCATCACACCACCGAGGCATCTTCACGACAGCTATTACAAAACCTAGGGGACACAGAAACAGCCAAGAAGTGTGGACGCACCTCCTGTGTGTTCTAGAAGGAGGTGGAGAGAGGGAACCCTCTTACCACGTGAGAAAGACACTTTCTCCAAACATCCACTGTGTAAGTCAGATACTGCGAGGTGCATTGTAACTGTAGATTTATGTCTTTTACCAATTCTAGAAGTTTTTTAGACATCTGGATACTATTGTCTCTTCCTCATTCCCTCAGTTTTCTCATTCTTGTTATGGCTGTTGAGTCAATTGCGATCCTATGAACAAAGGATCTGACTTATCCTATCGTGTGCCATCCTGTCCATTTCTGATACACTAGAGCCTGTTGTTACAATCACTGTGTCAATTCACTTTGTAAGAATCAATGCCTTTGAGCTGTGATGTTGGAGTCAAGTACTCTTATTCTCAGGCTCTTGATTAGACACAGGCTAGACTTACTCATTTTTAACCTTCTTGTCTCTCAATGCTGTCTTTTGTACCTTTTCCCCCCCTGTTCAATCTTCTGTTCCTGCTCAAGAGTCTTCTCTTTAGAGAAATCTGTCATTTTATTAATCTTTGAGTGTTTTGTTTCAGCAATTATATTGGCATATCTAAAAGCTCTGTTTGCTTCTATGTCAAATCTATTTGATCATTATAATGATTATTATAATTATTGCTTGTTTTTTTAAAAAACATGGATCTTTTTAAAGACATTTTATACATCCTGATTATTCTTTAATCATCTCAATATCTAAATTCTTTAGGGGGTCTAAAAAGATCTTCTCCTTCCTTCTGTTTTAACTCATGGAGTACATTTCCTTGAGGGTCTTCAATTGCCAGCTCCTATTTTGTTGATCTTATTTTATGGTGAAACCAAGGGTCTCAGAGGAGGCCCCTTCCTTCCACAGATAATTTGTCTTTGTCTTTGTAAAATAACTAGGCAGAGTAACCAACAGCTTCAGATGCTGACATTTCAGGGTAGTGGTGTGGCTCAGGTCCAGACACCCCAACACAGAGTCTCCCCCAGGCATGGCGGCAGCATTTGTCCTCTGAGATACGCTGCCTTTCTTAAGCTTACCAGTTAGGGTTCTGTTTTCAGAACATCCTTTCTATCTCTCCCCAAATTTGGAGATTTCCTTTATGCTTACCAATATGATTTTTTAAAAATTATATTTTATGCAGAATCTAATTTTGCTGTAGAGGACCACAAATATGCTACTATACTGGAATCTCCGCTAAGTATTTTATTCATCAATCTGATTTTATCTTTGCTATCACTTTCAGAAATGTGGGAGGTTCCCCCCTCATTATAAAGTGAGGCAAGCAAGGGTCAGAGAAGTCAAATAATCCAGTCAAGGTCACACAAGTGATGGAACTGGGACTTTTGCCCTCCCAACTTCAAATCAAGTGGAAGGAGAGGCTAAATGTGAGGCCCTGTGCTGCGCCCCTACTCCTCAGCTGTCTGCCCCCTCCCTGACTGATACCTTCTGGCGTTTGTAAATGGTGGGCAGCGGGGCCACCTCACAGTCCTTGTGGGCACCGAAGACCTTGCAGAGAGAGCAGGTGGGCACTTCACAGCTGAGACAGTAGATGTTGATCTTCTCGTCTTCGTGCTCCTCACACATGAGATGCTGCTCAGCTTTGGAGTTCAGCGGCCTGTAGAGGGCAGGGCAGGAGTCAGGGGCAGGGGGCAGCAGGATCATGGACCGGGTTGGGGGAAAAGTGGGACCCTACAGTGCGGGCCTCCATGAACCTTCTCTTCAGCCTCCACCCTCCTCCACCACTTTGGACCGGGGAGATGGGTGCCTTCCAGGGTGTTTTCAATTTGGATCCAGGAACAGTCTGTAGTCCAGAAGGACTGCCAGAAGGGAAGAGTCTGAATTCCGGATCCCTCCCAGGAGGTGAAGGTGACCTTGACAAGTCCCCCTGGGTCCAGTCCTCTCCCCTCTACAGTAAACACCAGACATTTTAATTCTTCCCTTCTGGCCCCAACACTCTGGCTGTATCCCAGGCTCTGACCATATGAGAGGCAAGAGCCCCTGCAACCCACCTGGATGACTCCTGCTTGTAAATGTCGATAATGTTCTCCACTAGCAGATTTCGCTGCAGGCCGTAGACACCATGTCGGTCAAGGACAACCTCATGCCTACAAGATGGGCAGCGAAAACGGCCTCCTGAAGACACAGTGGTGGAGCCCCGGGATTGCCACAGGGGGTTCGAGGCCTGTGGCATGAGAGAACAGGCACAGAGAGGCATAAAGGGGAATGTGGGAGGAAGGGCCATGGAGACTCAGGAGTGGGAGATGGTGGAGGGAAGGCCTCAGCTAGGATCCGGCTGGGCCCACCTGGAGAGGAGCCCAGTGTGAGTGAGCAGAGAGATCTTATTTCCTACCTTTGATCTCTAGCTCAGCCCACCTCCCAGAGTATCTCTGCACCCAGAGCCCAGCATGACCAAGCCCCCCGCAAGAGGGAATCTCCCCAAAGCTGCCTAGTTTGGAGCTGTGGGGAGGAGGAGGTCAGCTCCTGCCCGACACCCTTGTAGGTTCACCTTTACCCATTCCATAGAAGAAACTATTTCACTCAGTCCTTGGAAAAAGCCATCGTGCTGGGAAAGGTAGAGGGTCAGAGAAAGAGAGGAAGACCCTCAACAAGATGGATCAACATAGACTGTAACAATGGGCTCGAGCACAGCAGAGAACATGAGGATGGCGCAGGATAGGGCAAGGTTTAGATCTGTTATTTATAGCATCACTGAGTCATAGGGAGCTCTGGGGGCCTAGTGGTAAGGAGCTGCACTGCCAACCCAAAGGCCTGTAGTTCAAATCCACCGGCTGCTCCGTGGCAGAAGGAAGGGCAGTCTCCTCCCATGTGATGTACAGCCTCTGAAAGCCTGCTGGAGGGTCAGCGAGGAGTTGGTTCCAACTTTATGGTACATAACAACATGAGTCTTAGTCGACTTGATGGCACACAACAACAACAATTTGAAAATGTTGAAAAGTTCTAAGAAGCTAACTGATTGGTCCTGCGTGGACCAATCACTGAGGCCTGGTGAGCAAGGTAAGATGATGAGCCTTGCTTGGATCATTCCAAAACAGAGCTCAAGTAAGATGACGCCAGCTCCTGTCTAACGTCATTTGGTGAAGAAGAAAAGAACACACCTCCAAAAACGGGTGAGTTCAGACATAGCCTGAGAGCATTAAATGTAAATCAGGTAGCCATCCTAGATGTGCCCTGTTATGGGCACCTTGTTCTTGTTGTTGTTGTTATGTGCCGTCGAGTTGCTTGCGACTCATAGCGACCCTATGTACAACAGCCCTAAACTCTCCTCTGTCCTGTGCCAATCGCACTGTCTCTGACACTCCCATCCTGATTATCCCAGTCACTGAATAAATTCACCTCATAGAGGG